TGCACCTGGGAAGGGGCTAGGTCCACTACTTCTTCATACAAGTAATTTCAGTGACAGCACAAGCACAATGGGGTTGAGAGAAGACAGACCCAGTTCAGCTCAGCTCTGTGCAAGTCCAACGTTTGCTGGTCAGAGACCTCAATCAGTCTCCATCAGAAAATAGCAGCTTCTTTTTCTTTTGGAAGGTGCTGTGCGGCTGGCTGAAGGTGGTAGAGTGGAGCTGTACTTCAGTGGACTCTGGGGCACCGTCTGTGCTGACCACTGGACTGACTGGGATGCCAGTGTTGTCTGCAGGCAGCTAGGTCTCAGGTGAGAACCTCAGTCTGGTTGCGGGAGATACTTGCTCACATGGCCTTTGGGAGAGCAGTCTCTCCAGTTACTGTCCTTCTAGCATAATTTATTGGCTGGTGGAGGAGGATTTTGTTTTATGAGGTGATTTCCCACTTAGCAGGATCATTCACTACTGTTTTCTTTCCATGGTTGTGTCTGACCCCAATCAGCATTTGCTGAGAACTGTTTCAAACACTGTTTTCTAAATCTTGGCATTCAAGGTTGTGATGAATGAGCTGTGAGATCGTATCCCCTTTTTCCTATTACCAGTGATCTATTAGAAAACTTGAAGGTGTGAACCCTCTTTGGGAATCACAGATCTGGACTTTCAGACCTCCAAATAGCAAGGAGTAAAGGTCCACAGAAAAGGAAGAAGCTAATTCAGATGTATTAGATGTGCTCACATGTTAAAATCTGTTGATGGGATTGTCCATCAGACTCCCAAATGAGGGTGCCATTTCTTACCAGATCAGCTCCTGTGCAGTTAGTAGCAAGACAAAATGTGATAGGAAGAGGGAATTGGTTTGTTCTTGCTTTTGCTTTCTCATTAGCTTGTGAATGGCCATCTCATTATGTACTCCTATTCAGCTGAGCTCACTGGGTGAGAAATGCCACAGTTGGGCTGGAGGGTCACAAGAACTGAGGGGAAAAAGGTGCAAGTCAGGCAGCACTGCTGCGTTTCATCCTTCTGATGCATTCTCTGTACCAGTGAGATTGGCACAGCTGGGAAGAAGAGTCATCCTGAATTGTGGCCTATTCCCCTGCACCTACAGTCAGCAAACTGCCATGGGGATGAGAAAGCTCTGCTGCAGTGTGGCTACCAGGAAGCTGTATCAGGAGCTTGTAACCAGGGAAGTGCCATGGCAACATGTGTCCCTCCAGAAGGTAAATCTCCAGGGATGGTTCTCTCCCTGTCCCTTGGATTTAGGTTACCTGAAATCCAGTGCTGCTGATCAGATGTAAAGCTTCAAGTTGTGAAGCTGTGAGGAACTAGTTGTTGGAGCAGGTTCTTCTTGCACCTGCTATAGAACGGGATACCTTCTTTCCAGTGGAAAATCATCCATCCCTTCCTAATCTCAAAACTCAAAATGGGCATACTTTTAAAATCACTGCAAGGTGGCAGTGATTTATGGCTTGGTCCCCTGTTTATCAAACCAGACTGTTGCCTAAGGGCAGCAAGGTCCTGGTCACTGTAGTCCCCAGTTAGAGAGCTTTACCTGGACCAGTGGCCAGTGGCATGACTGCAGCAGTGGGCTGCAGTCATGCATGTGCCTGGAGGGTTTAGAGGAGAAGGTGTGGTAGGATGGGATGAGAGCACCCTCACATCTCCTCTGGCTAGTAAATAAATTTACACCCCCAACTGCTGGATGTACTTTGTCTCTGCCTTGCTCTCTTTCCTTTTCTTGAAGCACAGGTGTAGGTGCGCCACTGCGTTTGGTTGGGGGAAAGGAGAGCTTTGAAGGACGAGTGGAGGTTTACCATGATGGCAAGTGGGGTACCATCTGTGATGACCAGTGGGATGACCGGGATGCTGAAGTGGTGTGCAGGCAGCTGGGACTCAGGTAATTTCCCTACTGTACATCATGGAATGGTAAGGGAGGTGGGCAGAATGAAGAATGTGAAAGCATGTCCCTGTAGTATAGTACCAGCTGTTTCTAGGGAGAGTGTATAGAAACCCGAGAGAAGATAGTTGAAGACTGATCATCCCACAAAAGAATTTTGTACTTAATTCCTGTCAGTTAATTATAGGTCTATGTCTTGAGAAAGGAGTTGGTGTGTTCCTATCCAAGGTTGGTTTGGTATCCCTGTCCAGTGTTTTTGCATACATGTGAATCTTTCTGGCTTCTTGGCCTCTGTGATAGCTCACCATGCTAATATCCATGTGTGTACTGCATTTGTTTAAACAACTTCAGTTTCACTGAGCGCCTTTATTTTCTTGTCAGCAAAGCAAGAGCGAGCACCTCGTTCTCCCCTGTGCTATTCAGCACTTCACGTGGGAGTTGTTGTATACTGAGCAGTCTTGAAAATCAAATCAGTACAGAATTGCTTAAAAGAGATTATTGTAATTTTGAGATCCCTCAAACCTTTGGAGTTTTGCCTGTCGGAGATTGAAACGTCATTGTCCTCAGAAATTCTCAAGGGTCTGAACTGTTCATGTTGTGGGTGGTGTTTTGTTATGTGTTAGAAGGGCTCATTACCTTTTTCCAGTGAAATATTTTAGTTAATTGGCAATACCACTGTGTCAGAAATACAGATCAACTGTGGAAGGACGCTGGCCTAGTGTAGACAAGTCCCTGTGCAAGGCAGAACACAAGTGAACAAGACCATATCCTTCCTTACTGAGCATATATACCTGTGCTGTTTGCAGTGGGAACCCAAAGGCCTTGTCATGGGCTCACTATGGGCAGGGATCTGGCCCAATCCTGCTGGATGAAGTGGAGTGCTCAGGCAATGAACTCTCACTTGACCAGTGCAAGAAGAGTGACTGGGGACAACAAAATTGTGACCACATTGAAGATGCTGGGGTCTCCTGTGACCCTTTCACAGGTACAGATCCATAGCTTTATGCCAGTCAGAGGCAGCCTTTCTTATTCCCATATTACACAGTCTGCTCAGCAAATATCCTCCCTGCTTCAGGATCTTGCAGTCCTTCCGTGTGCATCTCCCCCAGGGATTGCCAGCTGTGGAGGCAGAGAGCAAGCAGTGGGTGGGAATGAATCAGAGCCTTCCCATTGCTTTCCGCAAGTGTCATGGAAAGGCTAAGGTGGCTCCTTCCCTGATAGACGGGCATATCTGTGAGCAATGGATCCTTGTTTTTTTGAGTATCCGTAGATAGCTGTCATCAGTCTCTTCCACTTACAGGCTGTACAGAGTCTCCAGCAGTGGGGCAGGGGCCATTTCTGTTCTCTGCTGACTGATTTTTTCCTCCTCCGATCCCTTGCAGATGGCACTGTCAGGCTGACTGGTGGCCGCAGCCCCAGTGAAGGCAGGGTGGAAGTTTATTATAATGGAGACTGGGGCACAGTATGTGATGATGGCTGGACAGATCTCGGTGCCCAGGTCATCTGCAGGCAACTGGGCTTCAGGTAGGACTGAAGAGTGTTTTGTAGTGTCTGTGCTTCCTAATTTCAAGGATTAGATTTCATGTCCCTTCACTGCAGTAGGCTAGGCCTTACTACCTTCAATGCTGTCGTTGTTAGATGGGTTATTACCATTATACAACTTGATTCAGGAAAGGTTAATAGGTGTCCGCATCCTTTCCAAGGAAAAATCTTTTTCATCTCTTGCCTTGGCCTGTTTTGAAAGCAGATAGCAGGCTTGGTACTATCTTTGTGAAATTTCCCCCAAAGTTAGAAAGTTGACTTAACATTCTCTAAATTTTCCGCTGTATCAACTCAGCACTGCCACCCCATCTACTTTGCCAGTGAAACTAGTTTGCATGCTTCAGTATTTGAATGAAGACCATTAGGGCAAAAAAGAGTAATATTAGGGTGTTCATAATGCTGTTCTTTTAGCCCACTGCAGAATGTCCCTCCAGGTATGACTTGGGGGAAGATTTTTAAAATCATGATACTGTAGTCTCAGGGCCCATAAAGGTTTCTGTGGACATTTTAGTATGATTATGGTATTCTTGTAAAATGTCAGCTTTACAGGCTGAGAAGAATATCTGACTAAATTCCTCCCTTTAGGTGAAACTGCATACAATCTTTGTCACCTCATGAAGTGTTTAAAAGTTTGCATCTTCCTGCATTTCAGTTCCAGGTAGCATTTCCTATAAAATGAAATAGAATTACTTAAATGTTGATATTTTTGATGCCTCCTCTCCTCCACCACCTATTCCCCAAAATGTTGTATCTGGTGTCATGTCTGCAAAGCAGCCCCGTGGTGTACCTGGCCCCCTGTGCTACTCTGACTGTGCATTTGGCTGGACACAAGAAGATGGACTGATCTGAGCAGGCCTCCCTGAAAGGTGAAATCAGTGAGATGTCAGCTCCTTGGCTGCCATCCTGTGTATCACTGAGTGGCTTCGGTAGGGAGGCCACCTCTATTGCATTTGGTCTCTGAATAGGGGGAGGGGATCTCCCTTTGCATCTGAGCTTCGATCCCTCTGTGAGGTGGTTGAGTCTTAATGGATGGTTCTGTTTCTTTCCTCTAGTGGTCCTGCTACTCTGGCCTCTGAAGGGGATTATGCTGCTGGCCAAGGCTTTATCTTACTGGATGATGTGGCCTGCACAGGGATGGAACTCTCCCTCCTGGACTGTCCCCATAGCAGTTGGGGGCAACATGACTGCTCGCATGCTGAGGATGTGGGAGTCCACTGTTCCCCCGAGAGCAACACTGTCATTGATGGCAACCTGGGTAACTTGCCTTGCCTCTTTCCTGGGACAGTGGGAAAGTGTCGCTTGTTGGTCTGTTCCTTTGGAGACTCTGGCAGGTGTGGGAGTTCTCCCTGTGCTGTCTCAATGAAGGGGATTGATTTTGGAGAAGGGGTCCTAGGAGCCCTCCAGTCATGAACCTCCCATGAGCCCTGAACGTCCTGGATCAGGGCCACAGAGTTGTTGCTCTGCAGGACATACAGCTAGACCCTTCCCAGCATATGTTTAAGCTTGTCTGTCTTGGCTGAACAGTTAATACCTTCCTTCTGTTCTTGTTCTCTTCTTTAGTCCGCTTCCAGAATATGATCTACTGATGATTTCCAGTCTGTATTAAATAAATTAATATCCATGTAATCTTATGATTCAGCAGGGAGGTGAAATGAGGGGCATAGTCTTTATGTTTAAAAAAAAAAATCTTTATTTTTTCAGCTTACTGATCTCTGGGATTCAGCTTTCCTCACAGAACCCAAGCTCTATGCACCTCACGCCCTCTGGTATTTTTCCTTGCAGTGGCCTATGTGTTTTCTCCTGCAGGGCCTCCTGTGCGGCTGGTGGATGGAGAAAGCACCAAGGAGGGACGGGTTGAGGTGTTCCTGAATGGGCAGTGGGGCAGCGTCTGTGATGATAGCTGGACAGACAGAGATGCTGCAGTGGTTTGCAGGCAACTGGGGTTCAGGTAAGAGATCTGGTAGATGCATCTTACAGATAGGAAAAACTCTCAGGTGGAATCAGCCCTTTCCAGACCTGTTTCTGCAGACTCTGTTTCTTAATTTTCACGTAGCTGCATATGTTTGAGGAAGTAGGGTCCTATTCTCACACTGTCTACAGCAACTATTGGAGTACTGTGTATGTGGAGTGATACATAAATATTATTTCTCTTAAAGTGTGCTGGTGTGTAAGGTTAATCTGCTCCCTGCTCTTTGCAAATTAGCCATCCTCTCTGTCATTGCAGTGGTGCAGCAAAAGCCAGGGGAATGGCTTATTTTGGTGAAGGCCATCGGCCCATCCATCTGGACAACGTAGAATGCAGTGGCATGGAGCGCTCCCTGGGGGAATGTGTCAGGCCTGACACCGGGATTCACAACTGCTGGCATAGTGAAGATGCTGGTGTGATTTGTGACTACGTGGAAGAGAAGGTCCAGGATATCAGGAAAGCAGGTGACATGCCTATTTCCTGTGTGCAGAAATCTAGGACTCCAGTTGATATCTGCAGTGCATGTTTTTACACTTTTCCCTGTAGTTCTTCCCTTTTTTGGCTAAGGCTTTACCTACAAAATAAGCATGTCCTGTCCTGCACCTCCTACTTACACTTTCCTTGTTTTCCTTGCCTTTTCTTGGGAGCACATGGTGCTCCAAACTAGACTCTGAGGAGCTCCACCCATGTCAGGCCATTGAGCCTGCAGAACTTCCCAGCAGCCAAGTCACTGCACGCTTCCTTAGAGCAGTAACTGTGAGCAAACTTTTGGTTTCTAGAGCACTGAGAAAACAGTTGTAGAGGTCCTTTTCCTAGCATAGGATTACAGATATTGGAGGTAAGCACCTCCACTCAAAGTGAGGAAACCCATGGGAACAAATGTTATATGAATTCTGTACGCACAACACAATACAGTCAGCTACCATGAGGATTAACGCCCTCAGGGAAGGGAAATACCTTGGTTCTGTGATAGCAGTTCATGCTTAAGTTGAAGGTGTCTACTCAGCTGCTCTAACTTTGCTGTGCAGGTCCAGAGCTTGGCATGTGTGGGATGCGCTTGCTTCACCGTCGGAAGAAAAGGATCATAGGTGGAAACAAGTCTCTCAGGTACTATCCTGTCATTGCTGGGGAAGGCAGAGCTTGTCCCAGCTTCTTACAGGCACTGAAAATAGTCTAGCAAAAGCTGACTTCAATGACACGCTTCCACTGGTGATTCTTGAACTGAATTTGAGCCAGTGGGCCCATCTTGAGGAGAATGCAAGCCAGCTGAGGAGAGAGGGGACAGAGTGGATCGGAAAATAGGAAAACAGCTCCTGTATATGTGATGCCTATTGTCCTTCTGTTTCTCCCTCAGAGGCGGTTGGCCGTGGCAGGCCTCGCTACGGTTGAAGGGTTTTCATAGAGATACTCGTCTGCTGTGTGGAGCAACGCTGATAAGCAGCTGCTGGGTAGTAACTGCAGCCCACTGCTTCAAAAGGTGTGTTTGTGAGTGAGGAGCACCAAGGGATAGTAAAAAGACTAAGAAGATAACCTCATATGAGATTATCCTTCCATCCCAGTGTAATCACAGGAGCAAAGTTTCTAAACCAGGACCTTGAGGTTATGATGTGTGATCTGGGAGCACTTATGGGGATGACTAAATATAGGCTTGCTTTATTCCTCACTGCTTACACCTACTTTGAGGTTTTACAGCTTAAAGGGAACCAGCATTTTGCTATTTTTCCAGTGATTTAAGGAACAGCGAGCAGGTAAGGTCAAAAGTCTGTTGCAACTGTTGCAATCTTTTACAGAAAAAGGCCCTGCGTATAGCAGATAGTGGTCTGTGGCACCCATTGGCCGCAAGAGCTGGCATTGTCCCATCTGCTAAAGGGAACCACAGTCCTGTAGCTGCCATTTCCGTAGGTTTGTGAGGAGGTGGTTCAGCCTCATAGCAATTGAGGCTTGTGTTTCTCTCTCAACAGGAGTACCAACCTCTTGGGTATCTCTTTCTCCAGGTTTGGTGTTGATGTGCGACGCTATCTGGTGCGGGTAGGCGATTACCACACAAGTGTAAAGGATGAGTTTGAAAGGGAGCTGCCTGTGGAGAGGATTGTCCTCCACAGGAACTACTGGGCCAGCAGCAATGACAATGACATTGCCCTGGTCCGAATGCGGGGCAGAGAGGGGTGCTGCCTCTCCTTCAATCGCCACGTTCTGCCTGTCTGCCTTCCTGACAGGAAAGAGAAATCTGACATCAACAGGCGAGCCTGCATCATCTCTGGCTGGGGAGACACAGGTAAACGACAGAGCTTTGAGGAGCACAAAAGACCCTGAAATCTGGACTTGGGAGTCTACAAGGGCCGTTAATTTACATCTGCACAACTCAAGGCTCTATTCTTAATGCTCCTATTCTCTGTGCATGGGCTGAAGGAGCAGGGAAGAAAGGTAGTTTTGTGCCCCTGTGTTTTCTGATTTTGAGGCTCTCTTGGGCCTGTCTATGGTGGAAGATTGGGCTACCATAGCATCCTTCTGAAGCTATGGGAGAGAGGAATGCTGCCATCTGGTCACATTCCTTTTTCTTCTCCCTTCCGTGCACGTGCTTGCCCACAGCAGACCCCTTAGGCAGCATCCTGGTGCAGAGCTGGTGTACAAAGCCCATACACTGTTCGGGGAAGCCCCCATGTTTCTGTGAGCTGCTGCTTCCTGTATGCTACTCTGAGAGTTGAACGAGGGCTTAGTGATGGGGGTTGGGATCCCTGTCAGAGTACTTGCTCATAAAGGCATGTGCCTGAGAGCCATCGTAGACCAAGTTTTCTTCCTGTGCAGTTGCTGGCCTTTCTGGTCTGCCAGGTCAGTGTGTCAAATCTCGCTGGATTTTGATCCTGGGACTGGGGGGCAAAGCATTCTCAGTTGGACTCTGACGTTGGTTTTCATGCTAGGTTCAAGACAGCCTATACTTGCCATTCTGCAGCGTGTGGCTGTGCTACTTCCTGGGTCAAAGGGACAAGGGAATATTCTAGAGAGTATTAATTATTAAATATTTAACTCTCTCTCAAGGCAGTGTTTTAAAATGCTGGGCTTGGTGGAGTACGGACATGGATGCATTAGCAAGATCTGGAGACTGCTTTAAACTCCAAACAAAGTTTTACGACCAGCTGTCCAGTCCTCCCCCATTTGGGGTTCATAGATGCAGTGCGCAGCTTTGCGCAGGGAGGCCTTTCTGAGGCTGCTGTGACTGGAGTAAATCCATATGTCTAGAAAGACTTGCTGCCAAAAGGCAAATAGCCCCAGGAGTTTGTCTGTTGATTTTGGACTTAACCATCCTTCCCAGCTGTCTCCCTGGCTATTACCCAAATACTGAACTGAAAATATACATTTGTCTTTGGAGCCAGTTGTGCCAGGTGCTTGTGTCATGTTGGGGTGTCTGGGGAAGATCGAGGAGCAACTTAGCCATGTAACTCCCTCAAGCTGTACTAGGAATTAATGACCAGAATCCCTCCTACACACCAAACCCAGCTTTCCAAACGAGAGGTAAAGTTACACCACTAACTTGTGGATTTACCGTAAATCTTAGGTAGAAAAAGGCTGCATTCTAATACAACACTGGAAGATTATGTTCTTAGCAAGTCTGGGGTTCAAAAGAGATTCAAGAAAATAGAGGCAAGTGTGGCCAGAGATGAAGTGAACTCCTTTTGAAAATATATTTGGATGCTTCTGAAACATCTTCCAAAACTCCTCTGAGGACTGAGCACTTTACAAATATTAATGCATTTATTCCCTTGAGAAAACACTACACTTATTTTACAGATGAGGAGATGGAGAGGTGAAATAACTTGAACAGGGTTTGAGTTACTTGTTGGCAGAACCAGGAATAAGAGTCATCCTTTGGATCTAACCTCTTTCTCCAACGTCTCCCCCCCCCTTTTTTTTTTTTGATCTTACAGTTCTTTTTTGTGGTCTGGCTTTGCAGTTCTATTTTCTGAAGTTCTGCTGGTTCAGAGATGCTGAGCTAGGCCAATTTTTGTTGCACAGCCTTGACTTGAAATGTATAATGTTGGGTTTTTGTGCAGACCACTTGCTTTGCGTTGCCTGCTGTTGTCCGTATATGAATTGGTCCAGCTGTTCTGTTCTGTTCCAGGGAAGTCCTATTCAAGAACGCTACTACAGGGGGTGGTGCCTCTTCTCCCACGGGAAGATTGTGAGGTCCGTTACGGGCAGAAGTTCACTAACCGCATGATTTGTGCTGGGAACCTCTCTGAAGATAAACGGGTGGACAGCTGCCAGGGTGACAGCGGTGGGCCGCTCATGTGTCAGAGATCAAATGAACGCTGGGTCATTTTGGGGATCACTTCCTGGGGTTACGGCTGTGGCCGAAAGGATTCCCCTGGTGTGTACACAAAGGTCAGCAAATACGTACCCTGGATCAAGAAAGTGACAAAGCTAAAATGAAAATGTCTGAGCTGTAGGATCTTCAACATATGATCCCTTTTGCTGTGCAGCAGCCGAGGACTATAGCTTCTGGCCTGTGTGTGATGGAGATTTTTTATTTTGTCATTGGACACTGGGAAAACTTTAACATAGGATTTGGAGAGAAACAGTTATGGCTGATTTCTTAGTCTTTGGTTTCACTTTAGTCCCTAATCTCTTAGAAGAGAAAGCAAGTGCACACCAGTAAGACAAATAAGTTTGTGTTGCTCTGGCTGCGTCCTGTAATGCAATCACACTTGTCCCTGTTTCCTGGAACACAGAAATGGTAGGAGTGGGAGAAATACCTGCCTCTGTAAATCTCTTCACCAATTTTTGTATGTTTGCACACTTGAAAGGCACTGCAAGGAGAAATGAGATGCTTGGGAGATGGCACCAGGCTGTGGCATAGTGGAAATATTCAGATACTTTTTCTTACCATAGCTCTCTTGGGCTCCAGGAATCAGAAGCTGGATTTGCCTGAGCTGAAGAACAGGCCAGCAGTTGTTTTTTTTTTTCTTCCCCTGTCATGTCTCTAGGGGGAACCTTTTCCCTTCTGAATAGTAAGTTCTCTCCCAGGTGGTTGAAAGTATCTGTGCCCTGCAAAGAGATGCTTGTCCCTCCAGTTGTAACCCTATATCATGCATTTCCAGTTGCCAGATCCTGTGGTTTTATTGCTGCTTTCTCACTATACAGTGTTTTTTTAATTTCTATTTTTCATAAAGCACCAGCTCCTGGAATCAGTTGATTATGTGAGTGTAAGTCTTCATTTTTAAGAGACTGTAGCTTTCTTGTTCTCAGAATTACGAAGAACTTAAAAATGTGGTCTCAAAAGGCCTAACACACATTATTTTTCTTTAAATCCAAATGTAACATTAATCTCAAACATGTGGGTGTTGTGAGTCACGATTTAGCAGCACTCCAGGGAATTTCTCTTGGTACATCATAGTAATTAACTGGACTGTGTTTATGATTCTTAGTCTTTAATATCTCTGTTCACAGTTCTCCTGTGAAACACAGAAATACTCCTGGGGTGTAGATATAGAACAGAAATGCAAGGAGTGAGTGATTTGCTTAAGGTGTAAAACAGTTAAGCGTGTGGCAAAGCAGCTCCTTGCTTTCCTGAAGTGTGTGCTTACTCTCGCAACCTCTTGGATATCCTTTGCCTCTCTCTTCCTTGCATTATCCCTCTCTTCATCCCTCTCAGTGGGAGTAAACTGGCCTAACTGGAGTGTGTGCAGGTAGTGACATGAAGCTGCAGTTTAGGATCAGATATTCTCAGCCTGAACAGAAATAATGTTGAGAGAAAGCAGGAGTTGATGAATGCTTCAGTTTCTTCCTTCCCTCTTATCAGAACAAATGAACACTTTCCTCTTCACAGGCCTTGATTATTTTGTAAGTTAACTTATTATTCTTGAGTAGGTAGACAAATGCAAAAATAGATAAAAGAGCTAAGCGCAGTGCACAGCAGTATGTTTTAGCTGTGTGGAGATGAGACAGAGAGAAGAGAGGCCTGTTCAGGAGTAGGGACAGTAAGCGTCAGTACATGACCAAGGACCTGAACACAGATAATACAGGATGGAACTTATGCCAGACATGCATGTTTTGGTTCACTAACATGCTAAAGGGTAGACAATAACTGAGTCAGGCACTGGCCTGCTGTCTGGAAGGTCTACACGCATGGCACTGAAATGTGTAACACCTAAGTCCATATTATTAGGGCAAGAATAGAAGACAGGTTAGAGCACAGCCTGTGAATTAACAATGTCGTGTTACAGGACATGTGGTAATGGAGTCCTAGAAGTTACCTTGGATTCAACAGGCAGTGACTGCTTAAAACTTGAATTTGGCTTCTATAAAACAACTTCACTTAAAGGTGCTGACATGGTTAGGTGTCCGATTTTCCTGTGTGTGTGCTTAACTGAACAGTTGTTTTTATTCTCCCCAGTTATTATAGGACAGTTAGATTACAAATGCTGCAAAGGCCTGTTTAAAGATCCTGCTTGGAAATTTATTTTTTAAAGGGTTCTAGATATCTTTAAAACGTGCAATGCCAGAACTCCTGCAGCTTGGCCTCTGAGACCAGTCTGATCTTTTAGCCCCTCTTCCTGAGGGGCTGAATGTCTGCAGTGCAGCCTGTGCTGGTAACACCAGGCTTGATCCTTCTGTAGTGCTGTGCTTGGCTCCACATGGGCTATGTTGTCCTACAGCTGCTAGCAGAGTCCCTGAGACACAAGCTGCAGACTGCTCACCATTTTCCAGGAATTGAAATGACAGAAGGACTGAGGGCATTTATGTTAAAGAGCTCTCATCTTGCAGGGGACTGAATCCTAAGTTCCACGCTGGCAGGAGTAGTAACTGGCTGCCCCCCCCCCCCCCCCCCCCCCATCCAAAACAGAATACTACAGCAGCTAAAGTGGAATTTCTGTTCCCTGGGTGCTGCTATGTCTCTAGTTTAACCTGGTTTGTTCTTCCTGCTTATGCCCAGAACCCCAACGGACATAGAAACACTTGAAGTGTTGAAAGTGTAAGGTTGTTTCCCTAAGGCTACTTCACTGATGCTGTTCAGGAGTTAGCAAAAATTACCATGTAACGTGAGTGGGATACAGTCCTGGCATTGTCTTCTGAAATTCCCATGTTCATGTTCAAAATACTTCCTTCTCCTAGACTTTGTCACCATGACAGCTGTGAGAGTCATTGTAATTAACATCCTGTTAATCCTGCAGGAGCTAAGAGGAGGGAAGGAAGTATCCCATCTCCTTCACCTAACTTTACACCTTACCTGTACCATAGGCAGTCATGTAAATACTCTTCTCAATTGTCCTAACCTGTTTCAGAACAGCGTTATTGCTCTTTACTGTTTACATTGGGACTGTGGCCCAAACTTAACGTGCTTTCCTGCCAAGGCTTACTGGGGTCCTCAGACTGGATGAGGCACTCAGCTGCTCTAGATCTGTGTTTCGGGTCTTAACAATGGCCAGCAGCAGATGTTTCAGAGGACAGTACCTGTGACTTGGTACCAGACAAATGTTTTAACAGCCTTTCCTTTGGGAGAATTTTATTTTTGACCCCTTTAAATTCACTATTTGCTTTACTCTTACTAAAGAATAGAAGTACAAGGACTCATTACTAAAGGTGTTGTACAAACACTAAGTACTGCCCTTTTTTGAGTCTTTTTTCATAAAGTATGAAGGTTTATGTCTCTAACTTTTTAAAAACCTATTTAATGAAGTCAGTTTTCATCTTTCATATAAACGTTTAATCCCTTTATTTAATCCAGCTAAGCTCTCAGCCTCAATATTTTCTGGCAATGAGAACCAATATCTTTTTATTCTCCATAGCACATGATTTCCTTTTATGGCACCTGAATGAATTGCCTTGCATTTTCATTGAATCCCATCTATCTTGTGCTCTCTGTTCTGAGAGGAAATAGAGGGCCTTGGTTTATATTTTTTTTTTGTTACCCAGTACTTTACAGATCGTCCCCTCTCTAAAACAGTGTTTTCTCTGCCTCTCTTCAACCCAAACTGTCTAAGACTCTTAACATGCTATCTTTCCATGCCTTCCTTTTCTGATGGATTTTTGAGCTTTGATAACCAGAACTGAATACAGTTTGCCAAAGGAGGCTGTGCCATCTGCTGTTTGTTTTCAGTATTATTTTCTATAGTAGGCAATGTTGTGATTTTAGCACTATGTAAATTACCTATGTGGGCTTGGAGCTAGCTTTAAAGTTGCTTTAAAGAACTGTAGGCAGTTTAGCCTACAATGGGGTGAAAGTCAGCCAAGGTTAATTCACTCTGTGTCCGAGGCAGGTGTAGCAGCCCCTCTGAGCGATGGCTGTAGGTATACCTGTGGGTTATAGTGCAGCTCTGGGCAGGGAACACCTGACCGGCTGCGTGGAGCTTTGCCTTGGCTGATACACCTATAGGGACTGATACAGTCCTTCTTAGCGGCATTAGTCAGTTGGATAGGGCTAATGCACCCATCCTGTTTCCAGGAGCTGACAGCTTTTTACTGCTGCTGGCCGCTGCACAGTGCCCTGTGGGCATGACCTGTGTTACACTGCAAGACAAGTTCCCAGAGCAGTGGGAGACACACTGCTTGTTTGGGAAAGGGAACGTCACTAGGACTGAGTGGGAGCACTGGCATGAGTGGAAACACAGCCAAGCTAAGGGCGTAAGGATAAGCTATTGATGCTCCAGTTCTCTCTCTAAGGGAATACCCCAGTGCTCTACAAATGCTGACCCAGTGCCAGTGCCTTTCTGAAGTCCTCTCTTGACACCAGTCGGGCTTTGGCCAGCTGGACCTGGATTAAAGGTTTATTCCTTTCCTGTAGCTGAACACTGCTCAGATGTTCATGTGAATTATGTTCCGTGCTTGCAGTTAACCAGGCAGCTGTTTATTAAGCTGGCAAGATGTTCCTTACTCTTGTGGTAGGGAATAACAGAGCAGTTCCTCAAAGATATTAATGGAGGGGTTAGTTAGGGGCCAGGAATGTAGACGTTTGCTATCTCAGGGGCAGGAGAAGTGGGCCTGCTTTTTGTCTTGCTCCCTTCCTTTCTGAAGCCAATATCCTGAAGTCTCTTCACCCAAAAAGAGCTGCTGTGAAAACCACTTGAAGACCATTTTTCATGTTTATATTCAGCAATCAGAGGAAAGCTTTTGATGGATGAACTGCACTGTGGGATTTAACACCATCTAGATAGATTCCCTAGGAGTTTCTTGCAGCTAGAGAATGTGGACGCAGGAGCAGGACAGCCCTGGTGGTAACGAGCTTGGGACTGCTCCTTGTGGAACGAGGCACTGTGGCCTGCACCAGTGTATGTCCCTTGGGCTGTAGGTTCACTTGTTCAAAAAATATTTCACTCCCCACATCAAGGAGAACCATTCGCTTGTGTAGTAGCCCACTGAGTACTATTAAAACCCTTTTCTACTAACCAGAGGCTGAGTACCTCAGTGAAGTGCCAAAACTGTCATGTCCCCCGGATTAACACCAATAGTTCACAAGATATACTAATAAATGGATTATACTGTGACTGTGTGGGGCTCTATCTTCTTTTTAATAAAGGGACTTGCTCCAAGGGGTGGGTTTTAGAATTTTTTTCAGCACTGAATTAAGCTAATTGATTTTTTTCTGTTAGTGTTATTTTTAGAATGGCTTGAACCTGCTGAAGTATGTTACAAAGTCAGTATCCTATTTAGTTACCATTATAACGAAATGTAACAGCTTTTCAAATGCTGTGTTTTTGACCATTTAGAACAGGTGAAGGTTATTTGCAGATAAACTCGTTACAGTTAAAACTTACCAGGATTTATCAGCTTTATAATTTGTTGTTTGTTGATCTTCCTGTACTGCCTTTGAACACACTTTGTATGGCATGATTTAGTATCCTTTCAGAGTAGGCATCTGTCTAAGAATCAAAGCCAAACTGTGGAAAAGTGCAAGGGGTAGGAGGGTAGTACAATTTGAATTTAACCAAGACACTGATGCAAGAATGCTGCTCCCTCTAAGGCTGAGATCTGTATTACTATATAGAAAATCTGTTCGGAAAAGTAGCTCAGATAGCTCATTGCAGAGTTACTGCTACTGCAGTGACTTTCCCAAGTCATTAGGGTTAGATTGGAGTTTGGTGTACTGATGCCTGCAGACTGAAAGTATTATAGTGCGTATTTTTTAAATGCATGTACTGTCTCCAGCCTGCTTCTGGGAACAGACGAGAACTCACTGAAGAGAAAGCTGTTTGTGGTTAACACCTTCCTTGCTCCGTGTCTGACTTTGGGTTTTTCTACACCTACTTATGTTTCCTGTCTTGCTTGTGTAAAACTGAGAGCTCATGGTTGAGGTTTTGTGAGAAAGGATGGCATGTGTATCAATGGGAGAAGCAGCATGTGGGCATTTTAGGTGGTCTTCCAAATGTCAGTGGGCACTGTTTCACCCAGTAAGTTCTACCACGCTGTTCTCTACTTGCTGCCTGGGAAAGAAACTAAGCCGAAACTGTGGTTAAGATGAAAAGTCTGAGTCTCATGTTTTGTGTTAAAGCACTTGCCTGCTGCCTTCGTATGGTGAAACAGCTTCAGAAGAGTGTATGGCATGAGCCTGCTCATTTCACCTTGCCAGCTGTAGGGTAGTCAACTTTGGATTTTGAAACAGAAGTATGATTCAGGAGGAAATTAGGCTTTGCTCCGTGCAGTTTTCTACCTAGTATAGCTGCTCTATTCATTAGGAGTGAGGAAGGTGGGCACTTAGGTTTCACTGCTGAGATTAAAAAGATTCCTACTCGGCACAATTTCCACTTTCTAATGGAGGAAGAAAATATACTGCTTGGACAACCTTGGATTGCTGGGCTGGATGCTTGTGCCACAAAACTGACATGTCTACAGGGGTACTGAACATTGGTAAGAGAGTTGCTAGGGGATTGTGCTGTTATGTGGGAAAGTGAAAAAAGTAAGATAGAGCTTTTTAAAAAAAACAAACAAACAAACAAACAAAAGATCTTTAAGTAAGTGTACGATCCTTCCGAGTCATTATGTTTAGGAAAACCTTTGGATTTAACGGTTGCTGATGAGGAACAGAAGTAGGACAGACAAAATCCAAACAGATTAGTAAGACCCCTGTGCCCCACTTGATCCTCCACTGCTTGCTTTTCAAATCCTACATGTTCTGCTGGAAATAAAAGGCATCTTTTTCTCCTCTGATTTTTTCAAAACTGGACTGCCACTTGAAAAGAAGAGACAGCTGCTTTGGACCAGCTTTACCAAAAGGGAAGCTGTGAAGCTGTGTTGCTCTGATGTCAGCCAAGCAAAAAGCCTTCTAACTCCTGTTTCTGTCTGCACTGGCCTTCATACAGGCATGAGGGCAGCTTTGGCTCAAAGGGCTAAGTTGGAAGGAGGTGTCACTCAAGGCTAGCCTCAGATTGAGGAGCTACCCAACAGGGAAAACCAACTGGCAGGAATTAAAATTGCAGCAAGTTCAGCAAATGCTTCACAGTGGGATCCACTCGAAACCCCAAACCCATGCTAGCCCTGAGGGCTCAGGAGGCAGCAGCAGGTAGCTGCCAAATCTTTCCATGAAAAGAGGTGGTGCAGCAATTTGCTATCATGTTTGCATGAAGTGCTAGTGTGGATAGTGGGCCCTCCTCACTGCGTGAAGGTACTGAGTGCAGGAGTGATTTTTTACAATGGAAGTGTGCCTCTCTAAGTAGCTGGACAGCTCTGCTGAAATCATTTGAAAAGTTTACATTTCTCTGCTATTTCCTACTCAAAAGTAGAACCAAAAAAAAAAAAAAAAACCCTCCAAGCAAAAAAACCCTCCTCTTTGCAGTTTAGCTAAT